CTATAAAAACCCGCGTGAAGGAACATATAGCTGATGTGAAGCACCGACGCTCCGGGAAGTCTGCAGTCTGCGAACATGTTCAAGATCGTCCCCACCATTACATTAGATTTGATAAACCACAAATTCTCGCAAAAGAACACCGATTCCTACCAAGGATGATACGCGAGGCTATTGAAATTAAAAAACATCCAAATTTCAATAGAGAAGATGGTTGGGTGCTACCATCTGCTTGGGATCCTATAATTAACAAAATTAAACCCAAACCCAAGCATACCACTGCAAGACTTCATGATACTATAAGCTCGTTTTGCGTAAATCGGACCAAAAATTAATATTAAAAAAACTGAAGGTAGCCGGACTAACTATGACATTGGGACGTCAAACATCTCAGTCCCCCCCCGTGACCATGGGCGCTGTAAAGCACCCGAAACGTCGGGATAATAATAAAAATAAATTAAAGTAATTAAGCGCGATAAAATCCGTAAATAATAGTTTTATACAAAAGCAATACTAAAGAAGGTCTCCATGATGAATTTGCATTACAATAGTAGGGTCGTGGGTTCGAACCCTATATATTAATGCCTTATGAAAGTAAGGTCTATGATTCAAAAGCAATACTATAGAAGGTCTCTACGATTAATATGCATTACAATAGTAGGGTCGTGGGTTCGAATCCTATATATACATGACTTATGAAAGTAAGGTCTATGATAAAAAAGCAATATTATAGGAGGTCTCCTTGATGCATAAGCATTGTATGGGGTGGTCGGGTGACTGACTGCTCCTAGTACTATAGCAAAATGACTAGTCCTTATTAGGGACTTGAAAAGGAATATTATGGTGGCGTGTGTGCTGCTTCACGAGCAATTGGTCCGAGGTAAACTTGGACTCGCTAACCGATGTGTCCTAGACATATCATCTTAGTGCCGGTGGTAAGCGGGTTTGTTGTAGCAATACGGCTTTCCTGTGGACATCGCACACCCATACCGTTTGTGGGCGATGTCGTTGCGCATAGCGATGTGTCGTCTATCTTTCGGATCGGGATGATGAGTGTGTTTAGTAGCACTTTTAAGTGTAACAGGCATACTCAACTTCATGTCTTAGTGTATTAGCGCTATGATACGTGGAGTTTTGTTCATTGGCGTTTTAGTAGCGTGCTACTATGATACGTTGGTGATATTTTTTATATAACAACAATAAAAACTTTGTTACCAAAGTCGATAGGGATCATGTGGGTGTGTTGTGAAGGGGCGCCAACCGTATGAATAGTTGCATTGATGCTTACTGCTACTTGCGGTATTGCGTCTTGTGATGGATCTGCGGGTGTGCTGCGCCTGATTCGACGCATTCCTGTGGTTCTGGTCGATGGAGGTATACAATTAACATCTAAGTGCCGATGGTAAGCGGGTTTGTTGTAGCAATACGGCTTTCCCGTGGACATCGCACACCCATACCGTTTGTGGGCGATGTCGTTGCACATAGCGATGTGTCGTCTATCTTTCGGATGGGGATGATGAGTGTGTATGGTAGCACTTTTAAGTGTAACAGGCATACTCAACTTCATGTCTTAGTGCATTAGCGCTATGATACGTGGAGTTTTGGCCACTGGCGTCTTAGTAGTGTGCTACTATGATACGTTGGTGATATTTTTTATATAACAACAATAAAAACTTAGTTACCAAAATCGATAGGAGTCCTGTGGGTGTGTTGTGAGGGGGCGCCACCCGTATGATAGTTGCATTGATGCTTAGTGCTACTTGCGGTATTGCGTCTTGTGATGGATCTGCGGGTGTACTGCGCCTGATTCGACGCATTCCTGTGGTTCTGGTCGATGGAGGTATACAATTAACCTCTTAGTGCCGATGGTAAGCGGGTTTGTTGTAGCAATACGGCTTTCCCGTGGACATCGCACACCCATACCGTTTGTGGGCGACGTCGTTGCGCATAGCGATGTGTCGTCTATCTTTCGGATTGGAGTGATGAGTGTGTTTGGTAGCACTTTTAAGTGTAACAGTCATACTCAACTTCATGTCTTAGTGCATTAGCGCTATGATACGTGGAGGTTTGTTCACTGGCGTCTTAGTAGCGTGCTACTATGATACGTTGGTGATATTTTTTATATAACAACAATAAAAACTTTGTTACCAAAGTCGATAGGGATCATGTGGGTGTGTTGTGAAGGGGCGCCAACCGTATGATAGTTGCATTGATGCTTACTGCTACTTGCGGTATTGCGTCTTGTGATGGATCTGCGGGTGTGCTGCGCCTGATTCGACGCATTCCTGTGGTTCTGGTCGATGGAGGTTTACAATTAACGCCTAAGTGCCGATGGTAAGCGGGTTTGTTGTAGCAATACGGCTTTCCCGTGGATATCGCACACCCATACCGTTTGTGGGCGACGTCGTAGCGCATAGCGCTGCGTCGTCTGTCTTTCGGTTTGGGATGATGAGTGTGTTTGGTAGCACTTTTAAGTGTAACAGGCATACTCAACTTCATGTCTTAGTGCATTAGCGCTATGATACGTGGAGTTTTGTTCATTGGCGTCTTAGTAGCGTGCTACTATGATACGTTGGTGATATTTTTTATATAACAACAATACCAACTTTGTTACCAAAGTCGATAAGAGTCATGTGGGTGTGTTGTGAGGGGGCGCCACCCGTATGATAGTTGCTTTGATGCTTACTGCTACTTGCGGTATTGCGTCTTGTGATGGATCTGCGGGTGTGCTGCGCCTGATTCGACGCTCTCTTGTGGTTCTGGTCGATGGAGGTATGCAGGTGGTGATGTCTGCTGGGATGTACGGGTGACCTTGGGATGGTGTAAGCCCGACGATAGTCGTATTGATGCTTGTTGCGTTCTGCAGCATTGCGTCTCGGTGATGGTTGTTTGGTGGGACGCTATTCTCAATGGCGCTCTCTGCGTCTTGGATTGACTCACGCCTGAGTAGCTTTGCCCAAGTCGGGTCCCTTCATTACGGGTCTGCAGACTGTCTGCCCTCCACGATGTTTTATATAACAACATAATATTATATGTCTGTAACTTTCCCACTTTTGAATGATTGAAGGCAACTTGTCGGTGGGTGAGACAAACATGATCGAAAATGCATTTACTCAACGTCAGTGACACAAACCCTTTCTGATGGCGAATTATTATTCTTATCTTATAACTGCCTTTTGGCTATATCTGCCGTTGTATTGGTTGGTGGAGCATATGTGTCGACCTCATGCGGGTGGTAGCTGGCGGGAGGATCTGAGGAGACTCTCAAGGCTGCGGCCGAAAGCCGCACAACGTGGGACCCCATTCCCTTGAGGTGAGTGGTAGACTCATGACACGCTCTGCGGCTAGTAGCCGTGCTGATCATGCAATTGGTGGTGATGCCATACACTTACATCACGTCTGCAGGAGCGGCGGTCTGGCAGGTGGTGGCACTCACGGAGGGTTTACGGCCAGTGTGCCTATTTGCCTAAACCGTGTGACGTACATTCACTGTGGCTGGATTCGTTCGTATTCTGTTTGGCGTTTACACGCATTGACATGCGCGACTTCGGTCGATGTTTGTGCTTACGCACTAGCAAGGGGCCAAGCCTCTTTTACTGGTTTGCCAGTTATTTTGCTGTGGACTACGGTCCAGTTCCCGAATTAGCTTTCCCTTCGGGGGGGAGTGCATCAAAATGGTTGGCGCTCACCGTGCACGGCGTGTGTGGGGCCGTGTACCTCCCCTACATTTTTTTTAAATAAATGTAGGAGAGCGAAGCCCTTGTATCGGGTACTTTGTATAAATATATTTTGAGCCTTTTCCGAGCGGGAAGGGATAATTAATAATGTAAACCTGATGCAAGTGGAATAGGGACGTTTTATGTTCTTAACCTTTTTTCGAGCCCTGTCTTCGTGAATGGGGTTCACTTAACTTATAAAGCACTACCAACAGCTTTCAATTGCTCTAGTGAATATTCATTCTTCCAAAAGACACCTAAAAGAACTAAGTTACTAAAGAAACACAACGTAAATAAGGGTCCTAACTAAGACGATCACGCCAAAATATTAAAACCGGCCTATTAATAAACCTTTTGAAAGATCATTTAGAAAGATCAAAACATATTTTATTTATCCTGGTCACATATATATATAATTTTTATCGAAAGGGGGTAAATTAATTATATCTAATATAATTATTATTATGAGAGAGGGGGGAAGCGTTACAAATGGTTTCAGATGTGTAATTAATGTAAGAGGTGGCAGCACTGATTATTAATAATTAGATTTTATAAGATTTTTTCAATTTCAATTAAAATTAATAGTTTTATAAGAAGAAATGAAGTTTTTTTTATAATTCTAATTTTCTACGGCGGTTATTTTTTTTTTTAATTAAAACAAAAAAAATATTTTTTATTAAATAACTTAAAATAAACTATCGTTTTTTAATTTACCAAATGAGAAAAATCTTCATAGAGTTTTAGATATTTGATGAAATATAAAATATCCCTAGATTCTGTTACTGTACATACCACATTTGTGCCATACAGACAGGCGCAACATTCAGCCACAGCTATTAAAATAAATTTAAGGAAGATCGATTTTAAAGCACCTATAAATGCTGAATATACCTACAACTTTGTTTTATATCATTATTTATTGAACAGTGCACTATTTTAACATCAGATTATAAATAATACTTATTAAAAGTCACTTTTTTCATTTACCACTGGTTCGCAAAAAACACCTCTGTCCTGGGAAGAATTGGCAAGAAACCCAGCGGAACTATTTTTTTAAAATAATAAAATTACACTAAAATTGCACATAACACAATAGTGACTGATTTTTGCAATTTATTCATTACAGATATTGTTGAAACACAACAGCTAAACGATACGCAATATTCTTCTCGAGAAGTATTGGGTGCAAAAGAAGATTCTGTGCATCAACTTCAACAAGTTAAAGGTTCCAAAAGAAGGACTTCACCTCTTCTGGTATCTGACATCACACCGAAAAAAAAGATTTGTTTAACTGAAACAAAAAAAGAAAAATATAAATAGCATCAGTGCTTCAATAATAAAAAAGAAAAAACCAGAAGCAAATTAATGAAGATACCATAACAACGAAAAAATTAGAAATATTGGAGGTTCAACTTCAAAATGAACATATGAAATTAGAAAAAAACAAAATTTTACTGGATCTTGATATTGAGTTAAAGCGGAATCTTTTAGAAAATTCAAAAACGGACTTAGAATTAAAAAAGAATCTTTTAGAAAATTCAAAAATGGACTTAGAATTAAAAAAGAAGAATTTTAATTTATAACGGCCAACATATAATAAATTAAAATTCTCATTTTTAATCCTAAGTCCATTTTTGCACTTTGTAAAAGATTTTCTTTAGCGCTCTATATCAAAATCCAGTAATTTTTTTATATTTTTGTTAGTCGATGACTTCATATTGATGTTGCATCTTCAATATTTGTAATGTTTTGGTGTTTATTAATTAAAATTCTTGTCTATAAATTTTATTCTATTTTACATGGCCAAAGTATAATAAATTAAAATTCTTATAAAGACCATTTTTGCATTTTGTAAAAGATTTTCTTTAACTCTATATCAAAATACAGTAATTTTTTTTTTTTTTTATTTGATAATTTCATATTGATGTTGAATCTTCAATATTTGTAATGTTTTGGTTTTTATTAATTAAAACTCTTGTTTATAAATTCTATTCTCTATATTTTTACATGGCCAAAGTATAATAAATTCATTTAGTTTTATATTAGTATTTAGTTATAGTTTTTATTTATTAAAATTCTTGTTTATATATTATATTCACTATATTTTTACTAGAAATACAAATAAAATATACATACACAAATTTGTTTTTATTAACATAATACATTATTCATACATGGTAGCAATGCTGCACATATATTATAATTATAGCACGAATAGGTCAGTTCAACTGGGGAAAGACATGCCCTCACCGAATACTAGTTTGAATTAACAGCTAAATATGCTGCTGTTTCGTTTGGTGAGCATTGCGAAATTGCTCTGAAATAAAGCGGAGACCCTTTAGGCATTCCATCTTACTCCTCAACGATAAAAATGCATCTGCATTTTGATTCCTAATAGAGGATAGATGTAGATGTCTAGGGGCCCCTGCATCCACACCATCAGGTAGACCATATATGCTCCTTTGCTTTTTCTGTTCCTTTATTACATTCGACATTGTGTAAATTGAGCTTTAGAGATATTAACAAAAGAAAAATTTTACCAACCTAAAATATTGTTCCACCAATAAACGACGAAAATGGTTCCCTTCACAGGGAAGAGGTTGTTCAATTGATTCTGTACTATCTTCTTCCGTAGCGGAATCAATTGCCAGAGTATCATTTTGCTGTAGAGCTATATTGTGTAACACAGCTGTTGTAACAATCACAGCTAACGTATGATCCAATTTTAACCTTAATTTTTGAGAAAGGCATGGAAATCTTCTTTTCCACGCACCAAATGTCCTTTCAACTGTGTTTCTGGTCTTGATTTGTGCTTCATTGTGGAGTTTTTCTGCATTTGTAGCTGGGTTTAAAAATGGTGTCATGTAGCGTCCACAAGGATATGCACTATCTCCAAGGAGGTGACCATCTATCTCGTTGTTATTCAGGCGTGCTCGGAGGAATGAGTTATTAAAAACTGTACTGTCATGTGTTGATCCATGCCAGCGGGCATCTATGTCACGAATTTGCAACTTTGCATCACACACAACTTGTACATTAATAGACAAAAACCTTTTCTATTTCTAAATAATTCTGCTTGCTCACCTCCAGGAGATTGAATTGGTATGTGTGATCCATCTACACAACCAATTACATTTGGAAATCCTGCGATATCAAAAAATTGTGCTTTTACTTCTCTTAGGTCTACAACATTTGGCATACTTATATAACTCCTTGCTCGTTTGGCTATTTCCTTGCTTACTTTATATACCACTCTGGATACAGTAGTTTTGTGAACATTAATGTCATCACCAATTACTATTTGGAAAGTACCGGTAGCATAAAATCGTAATGCTATGAAAATTTGTTCTAACACAGACAATGTATACTTCCGATGCATAATGGGTACTAGAGCAGAGCTGATGGTATCACTTAGGTGTATAACAGTATTCTTATTAAAGCGATATCTCAATTGAAATTCTTCATCCGTAAACATTTCGAAAGGATTTCTCCTATGTCTTAAGTTTCTGGGTACTGATATACTAGAAATAAACTCCAGTACTTCCAAATCAGACTCGGAAGAGCTACTCGTATTCATTGCACTTCTAATTTTATCCCTTAATTAAGTACTTAGCGCTCACTGGCAATTTATTTTAATATTAACACGATATAACCTAAAAGTCGATGCAGTTTGCTTTAATTTAAACGTCAAATAAAGTTATGGAACCGATAAACGGCACTGATTGGCCAGTTAAATTAAACTTAGCTTAAACGGAGTTTATCTTCCATTGCGATGTTCGGAAACGCATTTTCATAAGTTATCGAACCAATAGCGCTAACGAATAGATAAACTGCCGATAAAAGTACCTCAGAAACCGGCCATTATTCGAGTAAGTAACCAAGTTGTAGCTGCGACCGAGCGATAGTTTTGATATACCTGTTTGTAAATATGTATTTAGTTATCGATAAAATGGTAAAGGAATAATATGGTTTATACAACCATGTCTCTCGTGTATATAATAATTTTTGAGATTATTTTCTCTGATTTATTTAATATCTACTGTGACATTTATTATAATATAGTTTTGTATTAAAATTGCATCAAATTAAATATAATACAATACTTCATCTTTATCTTTCATTATAGTCTTTCAAGTCCACTGCTGAACACAGGCCTCTCCCAAAGTATGCCACAAGGCACAGTCCTGAGCCACCTGCATCCATCGAATTCCTGCACGTCTTATCGGGTCGTTACTTCATTTATTAGGAGGTCATCCTACACTTCTCCTACCGTTACGAGGCTGAATTCGAGAATCTTTCTCCCCATCGTCAGTTTTAGGTTCTTTGAGCTACATGGCTGGCCTAATGCCACTTCAGCTTACTAATCCGTTGGGCTTTGTTAATCACTCTGGTTCAAAAACTCCGAGCATAGTCCTCTCCATAATTCGTTGAGCGACATTGAGCGTCATCATACGGCCCTCAGTGAAGGACCACGTCTGTGATCCATAAGTTATCACTGGCAACAGGCACTGGTTGTACAATCTCGTTTTCAAGTTTTGGGGTATATCTGACGAGAAGATGTGTCGTAATATCCGAGCCTAGTTGAATCCTTCGGATGACCTCTCAGTCGTAGTTATAATTATCTGGTTGAACTATTTATCCCAGGTATAACGTTACTACATCAGATTTGATAGACCACAAATCCTCGTTAAAGAACACTATTTCCTTCCAGGGGTGATTTGCGAGACTATTAAAATCAAAAAATATCCTAATTACAATAGAGAAGATGGCTTAATTTTTTTGGATTAAAATTTATTAATTATGGGGTCCCCTAAATAATAAATTTAAATCCCAACCCAAGCCCACAACTGCAAGACTTCAAGATACTATAAATTCATACTGCATAGATCGGAACAAAAATTATGTATGTAATTACTCTAAGAAAATTAATAATTTTAATCCGGAGGTAGCTGCGGTTAACTATGACTATTGGGACGTAACGCTAAAAATGAATACCTCTGTGTGTTGCTCTATGGTGTACAAAAATTAAGAATTCTAGAATGTCGTCTCAATAGTTACAATATAATCTTCATCTCAAATTTTTCTGGCATTGCAAAAGTTTCGTTAAATTTTAAATACTATAACCTTTTTAAATAAAAAAAAACATATTAAATAAACAAAATATAAAATTCTTTCCGAAAAAATTGTTGAACATGCAAAAGTAAAAAATAAACACGCGTCTTATATAGAACCTCCTCCTTTTTATTTATTTCACTTTATATAAACATATGTCTTACAAATGCGGAATAAACGCCGTCATTATCCTAATAAGTGTTAATAGCTTTGAAGAACACCTGAAATATGAGCGAACAATTTGCAAGTAATTCGTGAGTTATTATCCATCTAATGACTTTCATAATTACGCACGTCGGTAATGGTGCTGAAGGGTGTAAATTTTAACGGCACTTTATAATAGACAAAGCTCTTTTAATTGATGAAGCCATTATAATATTATCAAGTAATAATATTGCGCACATACGGCTTAATAGTGACGTATAGCTCTGGACATCCTTCGGGCGTCATAAGAGGTGAAACTAAAAGAGAAGATGGGCTGCAGTATCTTTCTGAAAATCATATATTAATCAAAAAACTACAATTGCCAACTAGGTGGTAAGAAAAGTCCCACAATTTTAACTATTTATATCACTAAATAGCAGAGCTGTATTCTAGTGTAAATGGAGATAGAGATGAATAATAGAGACTACGAATAATAAAATAACTAATGGACATAGAGAGCTAGTATAATTACAGACTGTATGAAGTTGGTTACAGGTATCCATCGATCGCAGGAACTACTTATCAGCAGATACATAAGTTAGTCGGTCACTTCAGTTTTATAAAAAGAACTCCGGATGCCAAGCAAGGCAACTACGGAAAAATATCGCTCCTATAATACAAAGCAATACTTTCAACTGTTGATACTATCAATTTAAATTTCAACGAGCATTTAAGCGATAATTGTGATGTCCGTTACAATAAGCGTTAACAGGAGTTTGGAATGTAACACAATAGCCGGGTGATCTCCCAGCACCCAGACTGCAATAATAATTTTTTTATCGCAATAATAAGTGTTGGGAACGTTAAGTGAAGGAAACATAGTGAAGTGACTTGTAAGGAAAAATATATTTCAAAAACGTATGATGCCCCCCTATTACCACACACTAGTGCGATGACATACTTTTTCCACTTTCGATAAAAAGATTTGAAAGAAAACCACGTTCCCAGCTCTCAGCAGTTAATGCTTTATTCTCGTACTTCTACAGGATTTCTAACCTACCATTTTCTTTAAAACATACCTACTTGATCATTTACTTAATAAATGAAGAATTTTTATGAAATTTATCACATATTGACAATTTTCTAACCTCGTCAAATTTTGTAACACCGCTAACCGTGCACGGTATCGCAGACCCAAAATTCAGAATTCTGTTCTATGAATTTATGCCACGAAAACTATACCAAAATTAAGTTTTCAAAAACAAGAGAATATAACGAACAACAAAATTTAAGTTATTATGAGTCTTTTATATATAAATGCTACGCAATTGGCATTTCAATTCACCTAGTAAACATTAAAAATATTCTTAAACATTAAAGGCATAATGAGGAACAATAAAATAACTACTAGTGGAATTCTGAACATCCACTGCAGTCAGAGATTTCTTTATACAACATGTTCCATACAAAAGAAAGCTATATATTTAGCATATCTGAATTGCGTCTCACGGCCCTTTTTGATGTGCAATATACGAGTACATAACATATGATTTTGTTGTTATTAGATGTTGTTGAACACTCTGGATCATCTTACTAACATAGTTGTTTTGGCAAAGACGTGACAGCCTGTCCTGAAGTGCGAATTGATGAGTTCATTGGAAAAAGCTTCCCAAATTGTTCTACGGTTGAATTTCTTACTGAAACTGTTCAATCCAGTAAACAACGTTCGAAGTTGTGCCAACATTTCACGTTTTTAGCAACTCGAAGGTGAGTAACAATATCCTTCGCTGTCTTCGTAAAGGGTTTGAGGCAGAAATTTTATTCCATCTCATCTGAAAATCATTTCCAAGTCAATAATGATTACTAGTCGTTTGATGACCTTCCTATTTTATTTAAAAATCATCTCCTCTGCAGAATTATCCACCTCCTGTGTACTTATTTTAACGAAAATTCTCCATCACGCTGCCTTTTTTGTTTTTTTTTTTAACGTTAACGCCACACTAGGATTTTCTCCTCTTTCGTGGAGGCAGTTTACAAACATAAATTGCAGGAGGACAAACATTTTTCATTTCCAGACCCGGAACAATTATTTGCAGTCCATACAAATACCTGTGTTCCGTGCGGTAGATTTTACCTATAGCATTAGGATGACTAACGAGCACACAGTCCACTTGATGGTAAGGGGTTACTGTGGCCCATAAAAATCACATATATCCTCGATTTCGAATTAAAAAGCAGGTACTTTCTGGTCAATCGATGCTCGATTGATGCATTTATTACATTTATCTTGCATCCTTGATACAACTATAATGAGGGGCTACCACGATAAAAACTCTATGCTCCAGAAGCAATCGGTTTGAAAACAGAATTACAAAATACATATTTTATTAATCAGATTTTCAGATTCAATTAAGCAGATATGGTTTCTTTTGTACTCTTTTCGTTTTACCATTATTGAATATAAAAAATATGTGGTACCAATATTCAAAATTTTACTTACACTAAGTTCTTAGACAAAAAACCGTCAAAAAACGAAACGTATAAATAAACTAGACGGGTTACGCCAAAATCCTGGTCCATGGGAAAAAAGAAACATGAAACTTAAAACGTGATATAATTTTTAAAAAATAGTATAAGTTTATTTTCCATGTACAATATTTTTGAGGGTCTGAATCCAAAATCCAACCCTGGCCTAATCTTGGTAACGTAACTAAACTGTAAAATAAAACTTTAAAAATGCGTTTGTATAATAATTTAATTGTAAAAAATTTATATAAGGCTATTTACCGATGATACGATATCCCATGTTTTTTTTAAATCTTTTTATCGTAATTTTTGCAATCTTTTACAACGCCACTAGACATATTATGACAGGCAAATCTGTCCTGCGCGTGCACCACTTTCGACCGATTCGCGTTGGCCCTAAACTGTAATTTTAGGGCCAGCGAACTGGTCCGTTTTATTTTTTCGGTCGGTCCGGTCCTTCCGCTAGTAATATATAAGTCAATGGTTCGAAGCTGCATTTTTAAAACCTTTCTCCCCCATTGGTTGTTGGTTCTCCGAGCTATATAATCAACCTCATGCAACTTCAGCTTACTGACCCGTTGGGCTATTTTTATATTATTTTTTCATATTATTTATATACTTACAACATTAGAAGCTTAACGCTGCTGTGTTTCGTATGGCGAGTGTAGAGAAACCGAGATCCCTTTTACTGGCAAAGAGGCATTCCATCTTAGTCCTCACGGGTGACAACGCATCTGCATTTTAATTTGTGACCGAGGATTGATCTAGACGTCTATGGGCCACAGCAACCATTTA